GCACACTGTTTCACTGTCTTAAAGGTTGTATAGAGGATTTTCCAAGGAACGAGAAATCCAGCAACTGTTTGTCCTTTTTCAAATGTTGCGCATGCGTGAAACCACCCCCCCTCCCCTACAGCTCCTACGTAGAAGGCGGAGAAGTGAGGAGCGGGGGGAGGGGGTGTGCGGACATTTCGTTCGCGGACGAGAAGTGAGGAGCAGGGAGAAGAGCGGAACGGGCAGCGGGGACAGGAGCAGGAAAGGGGTGCAGAGAAGGTTGCGCGGAGATTCAGTGCGAATGAACTAGCTACAACACGCAGCAGCAAGCGGACTCTTTCTTTGCCTTGAAAATTACGTTTTCAGACATAGGATATCGCTTTCGTGTCCTGAAAAACGTTTGACTAGCTCTTGGAAATAAAGTACGTTTTCATAATAAGCAGAAGTGACCTGTCCAGGAGTAATTTGTGGACCAGTGCGTCAGTCTTTAGACCCTGCGTCTGCTTCAGTTGCGCCATCGCTGGAATGAATCACAAGAGTCACCTTAGTTTGGCTTCGCTGCTTTTCCCCTTGTCTTCTTCTTTCAGCGACCTCAAAAACGGACTTTCTTTTGCGACTAACTGCTCCTGGATTCTTGTCGCCATTGCAACAAACTTTGTGCGAACTGCGAGGAAGATATAGGTCAAAAAAAGCCGCTAAGAACTGTTGCGTTGGTGGAGTAAACAGCGTCTGTGCGTCTTGCGTCTGTGGACTGCGTGACAGTCGTACGTAAACCACGTACCGGCGGCGCGCAGGCAAGTCAGTTACGCTAGAAACGTAGGGAGATTGATTGACAGCCTGTCAGCTCACAGATAACGAGGCAGTGTCGTTATCTATTGGCAAATGTTTAGCCCCACCACGTCCAGAGTTGATGAATTTTTATTCTCTTTTTTTTGGTCATCATAATTACAAGGCTACTGCACCTCTATAATCTATCATTGACAACTTGAAACAAAAAAAACAAAAAAAAATCCTCCATACAACCTTTAAGGTCAAATTACCAGCTATGAAAAAAACTAAAAAAGAACTTGTGAATGTCTCTTCAAACTCTTTACCTCCATTTTACACTATACTCTCTGTCACTGGGATACGGCTGGACAAAAAAATTTATTAAATCGATTAATCAAATTTGCAGTTCAAATCGATTTGTTTGGAAGAAAATAGTTTTTTTGTTTTTCTCACTTTCTTGCATTGGTTTCTCACTTTGGTCACACAGAGCAGATTTCAGCACAGGATCACAGCGCTGACGCTTTGGGATGCAGTGACGTCAAATTCAATTTCAGTGTTTGGGGTTTTGTGTGTTTGTTGTGTGCTTGTTTTATCTCATTCATAAAAGATTTCTCCACTGGACTAAACATGATCACTGAATACAGTCTGTTCAGTTTTGACCATTTTCTTTAGTTTACAGCACAGTGAAGAGCAATAAAAAATACATCGAAAATAGAGTTAATTGAGGAAGAAAAATAAAAAATAAATCAACATTTTATTAAGGTTAAATTGCCCAGCGCTGTACTGGAATGTTCAACAGAATGTATATAAATGGAAGACTTACTTACTTACTTACTTACTTACTTACAAGCGAGATGCCACACAGAAGAATGGATACTTTTTTGGCATTTCTGAGCAATAATAGTGAAATTAATGATATGTAAAGTTTTCCTGCAGCTTTCTTCAAGTAAAATTCAAAGCTCTTTTAAAGGGACAGTCTGGAATTTTTGACATTTTTTTGGATATTAGGACCTCATTTCCTAGTGATCCAGAGTGTTGGAGACGTGCGGAGACACTTTTTTAAAATATTTCATCCAGTCCTTGTATTTGCAGAGGTCACTGGTGCTAGACTAGTGCATGTCAAGGGTCATATTTATCCTGCCACTAAAAACAGTCTTACCCACTCCACAAAACACCCGAAGAAAATCTATTATTACGACAGACTGTAGATGTGAATGTCTGTGTCGATAGAATAATGTTTGAAATAAAACTAACCTTGGATCGCCGCATGTTGAGGGACTATTTTTTTCACATATCAGTCCGCCACTGCCGAACTTTCTGTCAGGAAGTACAACTCACTGCTGCTGCTGCTCAGATATAAATCCTTCAGATACGAGGTTGGTTTTGCTTCTAAAATTATTCTATCAACACAGACATTTACATGGACAGTCTGGTGTAATAATAGATTTTCTTTGGGTGTTTTGTGGAGTGGGTAAGACTGTTTTTAGTGGCAGGATAAACTATGGCCATTGACATGCACTAGTCTAGCACCAGCGACCTCTGCAAATACAAGGACTGGATGGAATATTTTAAAAAGTGTCTCCGCACGTCTCCAACACTCTGGCTCATAATTTAAGACTTTAAGACCTTTTTAAAACCATTTATATAAAAACTTAATAGTTATTTCACAGCTTATTTCATAGACCTACCGACAAAGAAAAACTAAATTCTTGAACACGTTTTATATTTAACCAAATAACGTTGGTTGACAAATTAAACTTTTGTGGAGAAATGCAATATGCACAAATTTTAAGACCAAATTATAAAAATTCAAGACTTTTTCAGTTTTTTTTAAGGTATTATTTCCAAATTCAAAAACTTTTTAAGACACCGGGGGAACGCTGTATGCAAATTTGTTTAACGGCATACTATGGGACATTCCAGTTAAAGCAATAACATCTCCATGACGACAAGCAGATAGTGGAGCCTTCAGACTATTACTGCTGGATTACACAACAACACTTCTTATTCTGAAACATAATGATGACTCAAAATCGCTTCTTTTTGTCATACACTGTTCCAAACTCAAAGTATTGTAGTAATTCTCTGTAGTAGAAATCAAACCGCAAATAAAAAAACTACATCACTCTGAATCTCATAACTTCTTCTGACACCAGCTCCAGCACTGCAAATCCAACTCCATTTCTTTTTATACTCCACAAAAAGAAAAAACAAAACAAAAAAAAGAAGATCTGAAGCAGCAGCCATCAGTAAAGCGAGAACCCCGGATCAGTCTGACAGGTACAAACAAAAGACACACTGTGAGTAAGTTTGGAGATTAGCACAGCACGTTTCGCTCTGACATCTATAATTCATTGGACCGTTTTCGCCGGCTGCTCGTCTGAACCGCAGAACTGAACACAGAACTGCCAGGCCCTTGTTTAGATATTTGCATGAAGAGAACACCACTAGAAAAGTCCAGTCACTCCTCGCTACAGTTTCCAAGCAACAACTGGAGTGTTTCAAAGCTGCAATCCTGTTTTATGAATGTGTGGAAAGAGCTGGGCATGTGTTAAAAAATAAATAAAGACGTATTATTGTTGAATTATTGTTCGTTTTAAACATCAGTCACTCAAACACTCCAAATGTCCACACTATTTCCTCCTTAAGGCACTATTTAGGTGTCACGCCGTTTTTAAGGGTGTCCGAAAGTCCAGTTCTTGAAAACGTAAAGCACTCAAAATTTCCCACAATGCACCTTGAAAAGTAGTAAGCATCGGTGGTCACTAGACTGATCAGTATACTGCCCTACAAAGGTTTGGTCATGTCATTTTGTTTGTATTTGAGAGCGTCGTTATTATGTGAATAAATATCGTGAAAAATATTGAGCTCAAAATCGACCTTTGACTCTTATTTGTCAGTTCCTGTACTTTGCCTTTGCATTGCGAGCCAAAAATAAGGAGTTGTGCAAAGGCAAAAGGCGAAAGGCAGTAGCTGTGTATGTTTTTGTTTATGATTTAGATTTAAAACCCAACCTCTCGCCTCCTTCTTTTTGTTGCGGCCTTGGCAAAGAGTCTTAACACATTAAATAAATCTATCTTTGTATTCAGTTATACTATATTATCTTTAATGTGAAAGTATTTGGTGTATTTATTCATACTGTACACACTATACTGCAAAGTCACTTGTCAAACTGTTTAACTGTGTAAGTGTCGCCGCGCAATCCTGATCAGAAATACAAAGGTCTTCTCTATCATTTCAAACAAACACCATGATGACTCGACCTTGATGAGTGTTTTTATAATGGATGTATGTAGCCTGATTCATCAGCCGGTTTCACTTCGTGGAAACCGTCTGACCTCGCAGCATTAGGAATCATTCGCTTGACAGCAGACAGGTACATTTTTTATTTAACCAATCGCTGCTATTTGTATGTAATGCGCCAAATCCCGTAGGAAGAAGGGCAATAACGTCTTTCCTCCTTGATAAATTCACCAAACATTCTCTTTGTTCCGGCTTTAAATCCTCGATCTCGGGAATTGTTGCCAACACAGAATATATGTCTTCATCTACATCCATCTCGACCGCTTTGTTTACTGTTGTGTTGAACCACAAAAGGGACTCAGACAGACGCTTGAGTTTGACGTCATGGCTTCACAGCTCTTCGCTGATTGGCCAGTGCGCGGTCTACAACTTCCGGTCTAGTGTATTCCGATTTCTGACCTAGTCGCTGGGCAGAAATTAAATTGAGAGGAGGCATTGGCGGCTGTACTGATCTTGTCAGTTAGTGCCTTTTGCCTTGCCACGACTCCTTATTTTTGGCTCACGATGCAAAGGCAGAGCACAGGAACTGACAAATAAGGGTCAAAGGTCCATTTTGAGCTCAATATTGTTCACATCCAAATATTTTTTTCATTATAGCAACTAGTTGTCAAATTTTGGGAGCTGTATTATACTTTTGTCTGGACAAAACAGAAACTTTGAAGTCATTTTTCTCAGTTTCACAGTCTGGTGAGTTAAGCTCTTTTGCCTTTGTAGGGCAGAGTAGACCACAAATGCATTATAAGAGTCGGGAAAACAACGGCGTACAGCATCAGGTGTTTAATTGGACACAACACAAACAAGACCGCCCATTCAAGCCAATGAGCCGATCTCAATGGCTCAAAACTTACAAATGGTAGCTTTAACCCCAAAATAACATTGCATCTTTCATTCGTGATAAGTCAGAGTTTAGTAAGTAACTGTCAACAAAAAGCTATAGATCTTGGACTTACTTGTTTTGCATCATGTTCATTATAATCCAGTCCGAGGGGTAGACATTTTCTCCAATCAGATTCTTAAACATGATGAAGGTTTCCATTAAAAAGTCCTGCAAAAGAGAAGGGAAAAAAAATCTGAGCGTTTTTAGTTCAAAGATGAGAGGAATCTAAAGTGAAATGTGTGTGAGTTTTTGGCTCTGTGGCAGAAACAGCCCAAGGTGACACACGCATTGAATGTAAAACTGAGATGATTTCTGTCAAATATTTCAACTGTGGGTAAAGCAAAGAGTCTATTCAAAGCAAAGAAATAAATAAAATTCTCTCTTTTTTTTTTTAGAAATTGTACAAGACATTTGGTTTAAATTCAGGGTTTCAAACGAGAGATCCAAACATTTAAAACTCAATAATAATCTTGGGTCTTTTTAAAGGAGCACTGTGCAGCTTTTCTGGTGGAGGGTCTGCTACCTGCTTGTCTCCATGGAGATGTTATTGCTTTGCCTGAAATGTTCCATGGTATGACATTAAACATATACATTTAGCATTTATTTATTAATTACAGGCGTTTCTATTGCTCAAAAATACAATGATTCCCTCTGTGAATATGGGCGACTCTCCACAGATCTGAACTGTAACGTAACGTTATTTAACTTTTTTCTTTACTACATAATTCCATATTTCTTGGAGCCTGTTTAAACGAGAACTTGCGGGTAAAAACGACAAAATATTTTATCGGAAGTGCGTTTTGTTTATACCAGACATGTCCAAACTATGGCTCGGGGGCCAAATGCGGCCCTCAGAAAAAAAATTTCTTGGCCCTCAGACTTCCAGGTAAATTGGCCCAAATTAGCTTGCATCAATTAAAAAATAATTTTTAATCCAAGTTTTTTGAAAATCTACCTTCATAAAGCAAATATTGAATATTTAGTGTGTGATTTTGAGGATCTTAGCATGAATAAAGACTGATGGTTCATTCTACCGTGTTAAACATGCACATATTTCAATTCTTCACTGTATTCAGCACCAGTCACCAGAGCCCTCTGCTCCGTTTGTGTTTAGATGAAAAAAGTTAGGACACCCCTGGTTTAGATGGTGACGCCATTTTTGGGGCTTCAAGATGCAAAAATTTAAAACCACCCTAAAGAATGGAAAAGTTGAAAACACTCCACTGTAGCGTTTCTGTCTACACTGCCCAAGATGCAAAACTCTGGTCAGATCTGCTCTCATTGCATACGTGTTTACGTCACATACATCACCACCGAGCCGCCTGGCATGCATACCCATTTAAATTCCACACACTTTTGCATTACCGTATGCACGCAGATTTCCTCCTGAAAACACTCGTTTAAACGTGGAATAAAAGCGAAGACGCTACACCACTTTTGCGTCTTCTGTTCAGACCGTCATCATATAAACGTTGCCTTAATCTATGTATATTTGATGTCTTCTGTATGTATTGTATTTTCCGGGCTATTAGGCGCTCTGGATTATAAAACACACTGTTATTAAATGGTCTATTTTCAAACTTCTTTCACAAATAAACCGCACTGGACTTTAAACGAAACACAACAGTGTGATGGGTGAGTGGTTTTGTTTGTTTGTCACGTTCACGGTGACTCTGGGCTTTGTTCAGTTGTGGCGTGTAGGGAGGTGCTGTCTGGGATCGCTGGATTGTCGGCGTGTTCGCAGTGACTCAGTTGTTCAGTTGTGTCTAGAAGTGGCACATTGCACTCGCTTTTTCGGTTCGTTCCTCCGTTCCGTTCCTCGTCGGCGTGGAGTGATGAGTGTGTCTGTGGGTGTGTTTCGCTGTGCGGTCGCTGTCTGCTCCGTGTGTGTTTGCGTTTTCTGCGGGTGGTGCGGCTTTGTAGTTTACTGAAGTCGTGCTGGGACACCCGAGTGGATTCGTGTATGGGGCGCTCTGGATTGTGGCGCGCAGTCGTTTTTTGGCTTAAGAGTGCGCCTAATAGTGTGGAAAATACGGTATATAAAATGAATAAAGTAGTAAAAATAAAGAGTAAACAAACTTTGAATGAGAAGATGCGTCCACAATTTTTTGATTCATATTCTGTGTTAAAGGTCCATTGTGTAACATTTTTGATCGACGGTACATCAAATGCGTTTTTCCATGGAGATGTTATTGCTTCATCTAGAGTTACATGTCAGATCTGTGGAGAGGTGACCCTGCTTGAGGTCAGAATGCCTGTTTTTTTAAGATATTTTTGAGCTATAAAACCACCTGTAATTTAATAAATGTAAAGTAGAGCTGTTTAATGTCACACTGTGGAACATTCTAAGCAAAACAATGACATCTCCATGGAAAGAAGCAGGTCTTCCTCCAACCATAAAGTTACACAGTGCACCTTTAAAGTTACAGTTTTGCTTTTAGTGACTTTTCTCATTATATAACAGAAAAAGGAGGAGGAAATCTTTTTTTTTTTTTTTAAATGTACCTTTGCATTGTTGTGTTTGGAGCTGCTGTGCAAACTGTGCCTATGCTTTTCTACTCAGACGGACTCACTTTGGGATTCTTTGTGTAAACTAAATAGTTGGAGAAATGAACTGTCTGGCAGCATTTCCCCCCAAAACAGCCTTGAGAAACAGATAATTTGAATTTAAATCAACTTTTCACACTAAATACAAATACATAGAACCACACAGGGCAAAGCTTGCGTTGACTTTTTTTGTTATAACCAAATATTTCTTACTTTGATGTTTTATAAGTTTGATTTAACCCTCTGCTTTTAAAAGGTGTGCACTATGTAACTTTTCTGTCCGTCTCCATGCAGATTTGGTTATTGCTGTGTCAGTAATGTTCTACGCAGGGTTCTCAAGGTCATGGAAATCCTGGAAAAGTCATGGAAATAGAAAAAAACTAATTGGATTTTCAGTATCTCTTTCATGCAACTACAGCGTTCTGTTAAGTTATCATTAGACTATTATAATTATTTATGAACATCTGCGATTTTTGTCTAAAAGAGACAACAATAAATGCACTGACAGGATTTTAAATGTTAAAAACCTATAATACCAAACTATAAGGTGAATGGAAAAGGCAGAGGTGGCGCTACCATTAAGCAACAGTCAGTGGGCGGTTGCTTAGGGCCCACGAACCTGGAGGGGCCCCCAACTAACTGCCCTCAATGTCACTAATGGCCGAGGCCTCAGAGCAATTTGATTTTCTCTCAATATGACATTAATTGAGAGTAGTTTTACTTTTAAACAAGAAAACTAAATAGTATCTGATTATCAAATCTATTTTAACTGTCAAAGCATCGATCCCTTTCCCTGATTTGAACATATCATAACATAATCATAATTATACTGTATGTAATGAATGTAAAAAAAAAAAAAAAAGTAATTGTACTAGCAACCAAAATAAAACTACTTTCAGCTCTGGTTATCTAGTAAGTGACCTAACTAATAAGACACATTTCGAATCCACTCTATTTCAATAGAATGGGATAAAACTTTTTATTTTGTCTTTTTATTATATATAACTCGCTGGTAATGCCCTACATAACCTACGGTATTGAGATTTGGGGCAATACATATAAGATGAATACAAAGCCAATCTTTACCCTACAAAAAAAGGCAATAAGAGCATCACATTATCAACTTATAACGAACCAACCAATGCATTATTTATAAACCTTCAAACGCTGAAATTTTATGATTTAGTCGACCTGTACACTCTTAAAATCATGTTCAAAGTAAACAACAATCTCCTGTCGAAATCGTTACAGAACATGTTCAAAATCCAAAAGAGCCAATATGAGCTCAGAGGCACGACCATGTTTATTAAAAAGAAAATCAGAACAAACATTAGGAAATTTTGTAAATCTGTTAAAGGGGTGGAGCTCTGGAACAACTGTACAGAAAACCTAAAATTGTGCACCACTTTCTTTCACTTCATAAAGAAGTTTAAATGTTTAACTCTGGACAGATACAGGAAATATGAGACTTAGTTTGTGCTGTAGAACTTTGTTGTTCTGTTACTGATTAGCTTGTTTCTTCCTGCTGTATTTATGAAGATGAACTGGTGTCAAGATGAAGCTCTGACAAAGGAATAAAGGGTAAAGGCATAATAAGCTTAAGCTTCAGCCTGCACCTTTTCGGTCTGTATATGTTAAATATGACTGTTTATGAATTAATGTCAAAATATACCTGTGACCGAAATAAATAAATAAATAAATAAATAAAAACAGACAATAAATGTAAAAAAAAACTCAAGTTCACCTAGGGCCCCAGATTACTAACTCCACCACTGGGAAAGGGTTAACATTTCATATTTAGTATTTAGTATGCTCAATTCTACACATTTCGGTGCCGTAAAGTCATGAAAAATTCATTTTGGGTCATGAAAAAGTTTTGAAATTTTGTCAGTGAAAAAGGATGCTCCATAGAAACAAGATGGAGACACCACCAAGCCAAGTAACGAGTCAGATCTGTGGAGTTATGATCCTGCTCGCTGTGAGTACGAATGTTTTTCAAGGTATTTTCAGCAATAAACAAAAAAAAAAATCTGTAATTGAGTAAGTGAAAGATGGAAAGAAGTTTAATGCCATACTGTGGAGCATAGCAGGCAAAGCAATATAGCAATATTTCCATGGAGACAAGCAGAAAAGTGACATAGTGCGCTTCAAAACACATTCAAATCCAGATAAATTTGCCGTCATAGCAATACTCAATACAATAAGGCCAGATTTTTCTTTTCTTTTTTTTTTTTCCCTCAATTGTGACGTTTACTTTCACTTTTTAAGTTTAAACACATTTGATTTGGGATTTGCAGATGTCCGTACAGCGCACACTCCGTCTAATCTGCCAGTATATTATAAAATCCATCTTTAAGGGAGGATTTAAGACCCTGACTTAACCCCTCCTCTTCTTCCTCCTCGTCCTCTTCCTCCGTAGTGTTTGGCAGAGGCCGGTGCTCCTCTGCGGACTCACTATCACAGAGCGCACACTCCAGGCTCAGAGCCACTCTATGACTAACTCCAATTCAATTTCACAGCGCTTTGTGAGAGAAGGAAAATGGGCTAACAGAACTAATCTTGCTTTTGATACGTAGAAGGTGTCAGACGCTTGTGGTTTCCGGGGTCGCAATAGTGTACAGAAGTTTGATCATTTGTATAATGTGGAAAACTGTACGCAGCTTCAGGGTAAAGATGACAACGCTACAAAAAAAACAGACAGCACCTGGACTGGGAATTGAACCAAAGACCTTTTAGCTGTGAGGTGACAGATCAAACCACTCTGCCTCAGTAAAGCTTTCTGGAGGTGGCACCTGTGTGAGTCCTTCTGAATTTAAAACCATACTTCGGAACATTCTCCACTGACACAGATGACAGGGAGGTTTTATGTCATACCGTGACAGACAGATATAGTCAAAGGAAAAGCATTTCCATGGAAACAAGCAGGGGGAGACTTTCCACCGGGTCAAGAAAGAGTCAGGTTTGTGGAGATGCAAGCCCACCAAACCAAAATGAAACATGCCTTTAAGTGTTTTTTTTTTTGTTTGTTTGTTTTTATGTTGCATACTGAATCCGTGTATAATTCATTCATTCATTTTTCAAAATAAAACCAAAAATAAGAAAATGAAACAAACAAACAAAAAAAAAAAAGAAAAACTATTTTCTCCATTATTTGTCTCCAAAACCAAAATGAAAAAAATAAAAATAAAAATAAATAAATAAATAAATAACGGCCGTTTCCGTGACTTAAATGGCAATGCCGGACTTTTGCGCCGCATACGGACTGAACCAGGACTAAACCAGTACTGAACCAGGATTAAACCAGGACTAAATGAGAACTGAATCAGGACTGAGTCTTGGGACGGGCCTGCAGGTGAGCCCGCGTAGACCGTCGGGTGACTATAGGTGAAAGGACTGGTGCAGAGCCTCAGGGAACAAAGCACAACCACTGTCACCTGGTCACACTTTATGGACACCCTGCTCCTCGGGTTCGGGGTCTTTCTCTCGATCTCAAGTCCAAGATTAATCCTGGTTCAGTCCTGGTTCAGTCCTGGTTTAGTCCGTATGGCATCGCAGTTTAAATCACAGAAATGGGAAACACAAAATCGAAAACTGAAAAAAAAAAAATAATAATTATTTTTTTTTTCATTTGTTTTTGGAGATAAATAATGAAGAAAACTGTTGTTTTTACATTTTCTTATTTTTTTTTTTTTTTTTATTTTAAAAGACGAGTGAATGAATGATTGATGAATGAATGATTATACTGTGGCTTTAAATTAAGTTTAGTTTTGTGTTTTTTGTGTTCTGTTTACTCTAGAAGGTCGCACATTTCAGATACATTTATATGCATACTTATACAACGTATATAAGTAGCGCAAATATAAAATGACAACAATACACACTGGAGAATCGTTGCCATGGTAAATCCTTGTGTCTGAGATCCGTGAATATCTCCACAAACCAACAGCATCTGCATAATTTCATCTGAGAACCAACGAAATGGCCGCCAATCTGCTCTGCCTCTCCACACGACACTGCCGAGGTCGTGCGAGGTTTCACACAGCGTTTCCGAGCAGACAGCCTCCTCTCCGCGCAACTCTACGGAGATTGGTTTGCGTGCTCGCGACATTGACTTCCTGATAAGGCAGAACTCACCACCACATCGCTCCTGATCTTCCCAAAGGTGCTGATCAGATGGCTGTAATGATAGTCGTCCATCTGTCTCAGAGTCGCCGTCATGGCCGCCACGAAGCTTCCCTGGAGAAAGAGGAGAGGGGAAATTCTGTTACAAAAAGAGTAAACAAAGACGATACGGAGCTGTTTGTTTACAGAAATGTGTGAGCGCTTGAGGGAAGCTCTGTTCATTTGGTATAATATGTGTAATAAAGACAGTGATCATATTTGCAAAGACACCACAGTGAAATAAGACTAAACTGGGACTAAAACTGGAACTAAAACAGGACTAGAACAAGACCAAACCAAGTCTACACCATGATTAAACTGGATTCAAACCAGGACCAAATCATAACTTGATAGTTAGAAGTGTTTTGACTCTAATAAATCAATTCAATCAACGCTCACTTGCCACCAATCCATCATTGACATTTCTTCATCCACAATATAGAAACAAATTAGTTATTTGTCACTTAACTAAATGTCAACTGTATAACTTCACGAGAATCATTTGGATGATTAGCCCTGAAATCGCCCATATTTACTGAACAGAGGGTAAAAGGGAACTTTTAACATGAAAACCACCGCTTCATGACATCACGACGTGGAGCAGACCATTTTGAGTAGGAAAAAATAGTGAAATATTGATATATCATAGCGTTTAATGCAGGGGTCATTTAATGCATGGGCCGACTCCGACCCTCCATGCCCCTTTGACCAGCCCCTCAGCCCCTCTGCCCCCACCACTTGAACTGGAAATCCTCAAAAGTTGTCATGGCCTGTTTTTTTAAATGACTTTTTGGCAAATAATAACATGTCTGCACCTTGTATTTTGTTGATTTTTTCAATTAAAAATGATATTTATACGAAATATTTATATTTATATTTAAATAATTAGTCACGTATTTACATTTGCCTAAAAAAATCAAACGAGAGTCAAAGCAAGTGCGAGTATTTTAGTGCAGGTAAGGATAGAAAAATGGCTCGTGTTAAAGTAATAAAAGTTGACAGAAAGTGCAGAGTTTTCGAAAACAGTGGACGACCTTCTATTTTTTTGTTCAGTGAAAGGACCGTGCAGTTTGTCTGTATGTAATCATCGTAATGTATCGGTATTATCGTATTATCTGATCGTATGTATCGAGGTATGTATGTATCGTGTTATGTATCATTATGTATGGTATATGCTTATGTATCGATGTATGTATGTATCGTGGCTTATGTATCAGTATGTATGTATCGTGGCTTATGTATCGAGTTATTGTATGGTATCATGGTATCTAATGTATCGAGTATGTATCGTATGTATCGTGGCTTATGTATGTATGAGGTATGTATCGTATCGTATGCTTATGTATCGATGGTATGTATCGTATGTATCGTGGCTTATGTATCGAGGTATGTATCTATGTATCGTATGGCTTATGTATCGAGGTATGTATCGTATCGTGGCTTATGTATCGAGCTTATGTATCGAGGTATGTATCGTATCGTATGGCTTATGTATCGAGGTATGTATCGTATCGTGGCTTATGTATCGAGGTATGTATGGTATCGTGGCTTATGTATCGAGTTATGTATGGTATCATGGCTTATGTATCGAGGTATGTATCGTATCGTGGCTTATGTATCGAGGTATGTATCGTATCGTGGCTTATGTATCGAGTATGTATGTATGTATCGTATCGTGGCTTATGTATCGTAAGTATGTATCGTATCGTGGCTTATGTAACGAAGTATGTATCGTATCGTGGCTTACGTATCGAGGTATGTATCGTATCGTGGCTTATGTAACGAAGTATGTATCGTATCGTGGCTTATGTAACGAAGTATGTATCGTATCGTGGCTTATGGATCGAGTTTTGTATCGTATCGTGGCTTATGTATCGAGGTATGTATCGTATCATGATCTATGTATCGACGTATGTATTGTATTGGCAAATTCTGAATAATATCCAGCCCTAAATTTGAGCTACGAAGACGTAAACAGACTAATAATAAAGAGTTACTCAGACAACGCCGGGTATGTTTGTGATGAAATAACATGACTTACAGCTCACAAGAGTCAATTTTGCGAAATATACGACCTCTGAAAAGTGGGAAATCACCTCAAAACCTTGTTCTACCAGTGCTGAAGCCGACTGTAAACACGCCCCGTAATTACAACGCGCCATCAATTAAGATTAAGTGATTGCTGGCAGCTCCATTATCGCATACAGTCGGGTTTTGCTTCCATACTCGCGCTATAGGCCACATGCTGAGTATTGACCGCAGATGAATTGAACGGAGCTGTAGTTCGGGTGTAAAAAGGTGAGCGGTGCCAGTCAAATGTCTGTCAAAGAGTGGACCGGTTCTGACATGTTCCACTATTACAAGGAAATCTATAGTGACGAACAGCGATGGCTTCATTCCATACACTTTGCCTGTCAAACGGGGAAAGTGCTTTGAAATTCATGACGTTTTTGAGATGGATGATGCATAGATGTACAGAGAACGGGCTTGTATAAGGAGCTGTCCTGTTAATCAAATCTGAGTCGTGATCAGAAGCGGGTAGAGTAGACAATATCAGTACTCAAGTGAGAGAAAGGTTACTTCATAATAGTGGTGGAATAAGTACTCAGTTGTGTTTCTTAAAGGTTGTATAGAGGATTTTTTTAAGGGAAGAGAAATACAGCGACAGTCCTTGTGCGCATTCAGAATTACTGTTGAAGTTTCCTGTCTAGAAGTAATTCAGCGACCGTCAGTTTTTAGACCCTTCGTCTGCTTCAGTCGCGCCATCGCTGGACGAGATCTCCAAGAATCACCTCAGTTTGGCTTTGCTACTTTTCCACTTCTCTTCTTCTTTCAGCGACCTCAAAAACGGACTTTCTTTTGCGGCGAACCGGTCGTGGATTCTCGTCCGCCGTCGCGACAAACTTTGTGCGAAATGCGAGGAAGCGACAGTTCGAAAAAGCCTCTAAGAACCGCTGCATAAACCACGTAATCCCCGCGCTCCGACGAGTCAGTTATACTAGGGAGTTTGATTGACAATCTAACAGCCAATAGAAAATGAGGGAGCCTCGTTTTCTATTGGCTGATGTTTATCTGGCCTCAACACGTCCACAGTTGATAGATTTTCGTTCTTTTTTTTTTGGTCATCATAATTACAAGGCTGCTGCGTCTCTGTAATGGTATTTTAATCTTTCACTGACAATTTCAAACTAAAAAAAAATCCTCCATACAACCTTTAAGTAAAAGTGCAGATACCGGAGCAAAAAATACTCAGTTAAAAGTTAAAGAATCACATGAAAAATCTACTTAGGTAAAAGTTTTAAAGCACCTGTTTAAAAATGTCCTTAAAGAGTAAAAAGTAAAAGTTTGTGTGCAGGTTTTGAGATGTAATAAAGCTTAAAATGTATTGATTTTAATAAAGGTCTGTGCTGAATTTTGTTAAAAAGAAACAAATGAATCAGACATTTTTCGAGGCTGTTTTAATTTGTATATTTTTGTTTGTCCAAAATTTTAATCATTAAAACAGTGATAATGTCAAATGTGTTGCATAAACGAGTTTCCTTCCTTTAAGCAAACAACAAAACTACAGCCTTGTAACGAAATAATTAGTAAAATATAACAAAAACTACTCCTGCTGATATATTAATGCAGCAGTCCACGATATCGATACTGTATCATTACATTAAACGATGCAATATATCAATATTTCGATATTTTTGCACACCCCTACTAAGGACACAGCAACAGTTTTTTGCAACTGGCGCCCCCCTGTGGCACCTGATTTTCCCAGTGGTCTCCCATCCGAGGACTAACCAGACCCGGCCTCGCTTAGATTCTGAGATCTGACGGGATCAGACTTTGACAAATTGGTGTGGCCATAGTCAACAAAAGCTCTTACCAACTGAATTATTTAAAAAAAAGAAAGTTATTGTAATTAGTAGAGCAAGAAAAGTATTTTTAATTCACAAAATCTAATATTCTCAAAGGATAGATGCACTGGGAAGGGTAACCAAACCTTTTACTGAAGCAAGAGTACTGTCAATAAAAGTGTGGTGTTAAAGTTTGTAGTAATCTAAAAGGTTAGGGCACCTCAAAACTCAAACTCACAACACATTTTCAAACATGAATAAATCAGAAAATGTTAGGCATAAATTGAAATAAATGTATTCTCTCAGTGCAGATTAACACTTGGCAGTACATAAATAACTTCCAAATAATGAGGATTTCAATTGTGACGAGTAGAAAAGACAGGTAGAATAACAAATCAGCGTAACAAATTTAGACTCCATATTTGCATGCTAGCTTGTACTCCATCACCCGTGTAGCGCCCATCAAAGCCGGAGTTTGTTGAGAAAGATAAGGAAAGCAATTAAAAGCGTATTGTCACAGATGCACGCCGCCCGGGCAGATTATAATCCAAACCTGATTAGGATTTATAGGCACAGGTGAGCGGTGATCTCAGGATTAACTCCGAAAGGTCACATCACAGCGGCGCACTTCCTGTTATTAAGGATCGTTTTTAAAATCTTAGTTCAATATCTGAGGTAGATTTTATGTTTTCAAAAAAGATCAAGATGAACCTGAGTAAATAATGTTTTCTGATCGATGTTATAATGTCGTTTCCTCGTCACAAACAGACCTGGAGTTGTGTTTTGTTTCATTTACACATGTTTAACTCACAAACCCTGTCTAGTTAGTTCACTCTGTTCCACCTTGTGATGTCATGTGGTGATACAGGAAGTGCTCCACTGTGTTTTTAAACTCCATACACCTTCACTAGGATCGTTTGGATAATTTCAGCCCTGGAACTGACGATTTCTACTGAACAAAAGGTAAAAGGTGCATGTTAAATTGAAACCTACCGCTTCATGACATCAAAACACAACTCCAGGTCTGTTTTAAATCTGTGTATCATTCGTTCATTGTTTTTTCAAAATAAAACGAAAAAATAAGAACACGAAAAAAACAACAATTTTCTTTATTATTTGTCTCCAAAACCAAAATGAAAAAACGGATAACGATTTCCCGTTTCCGTGACTTAAACTGCGATGCCGGACTTTTGCGCTGCATACGGACTGAACCAGGACTAAACCAGG